AACTCCCAGAATTCCTCAGCCAGCTTTGCTGGCTGAGGAATTCTGGGAGTTGAAGTCCACAAGTCTTAAAGTTGCCAAGGTTGGACACCCCTGATCTAGACCCTCTAGAAAGGGTCTTCAGTGACTGGCAACTCTTGAGGCTACTTCAAGATCCATCTATGTCGATGAGCTAAATTTTTCAAAAGTGATGATCAAATCACGTCCTTCATAATAAGCTCCTTTGTACACAGAGAAACACAACAGCACAGATAAATACACCCATACATATATACATACACTGAGATGTCCATGCACACACACATACACACACTTTTCAAACTACTCCCTCTATCTTGCCTCTTCTAAATTGAAGCTAATGCAGATAAAAGGTGCTCCAGAAATTTGAACTGGGCTGAATCTCCCAAAAGTGGGACTTTAAAAAACAAACAAACAAACAAACACATGCCTGTGTGTTTCTGATTCCAGATGAACAACTACCTGACGGTGCCAACACATAAAATAGATTCACCAACCATGTCAAGGGCACGCATTGGTTCAGGTAAGTGGAAAGATTAAGACTTGGGACCCAACACCTCTACCTCAATTTTTCATGTCCCACTGGTTTATTTTAATGTAAAGAATAGGGAATTTATTTATCTCCATCTTCCAGGATAGGTAATGGCGTGGAGTTGTAGTTCAGCAATATTTTGAAACTGTGGGTAGGTGTGTGGTGGAATCTCCAGCTAAAGTGGAGGGAAGGGGGAGTTTATGAGACTGATGTGCTGGGTGTCCCTGTGTGGGAGGAAGTGATGGATATCTGCTCCCCCCCCCACAAAAAAATAAGATCCCTGATATGTGATTATTCCCATGGAGTTAAAAGACTGGGGATATTCTTCTAAATAAACAAGTAGCAATAAAGAAACTTTCTGATCAGCTCATGGTATTGTTCTAGTTCTTTGTGCCTCACAGTGATTAGTATGACATTATAAGTTAGGAAAATGATTTTTCCTGATAGATTGGAGCAGAGAAAATTGGGGAGTGATGCGGTGGCCTAGAGGTGGAGATCTCACCTCACAATCAGGAGGCTGTGAGTTCAATCCTAGGTCGAGGCAGATATTTTTCTCTCTTGGGCACAATGAGAATATATCTGCTGAACAAAACTCTGTACTGGCAACAGGAAAGGCATCCAGCCATTAAAACACTCTGCTAGCTCCATTCAGTTGCTCAGACTTCACCCCCGCAAGGGATTTATGGGGTCGTTAAATGAAGATGATGATTGGAGCAGAGAAAATTGGACTGTGCTAGTGGAGTGGCTCTTTCCTTCAACTCCACTTACCTTCGCTTTCTTTTGTAGACCCCCTTGCTTATGACCCGAAGCCGGATTCTGAGAACGTGCCCATCATAACCATCGACCCAGCATCCCCCCAGTCGCCAGAGTCGGTTGACTTGGTGAACGAGACCCTGAAAGGGATGCACCACCTTCCGCCCTCCCCGGAGGAGGACGAAGATGAGGAGGGGCTGATAATGAAGGTCAAAGAGCCGTCTTCTCCAGGCACAGATGACGTCTTCACTCCTGGGACAGGCGACAGTCCCAGCAACCAACGGATTATGAGATGCCTGAGTGATCCAGGGCCTCGGCCAGATCCTAACGAGGGCGAGCCCTTTATCCCCAAAGGGCAGTGAGCCCAGATATGCACTACTAGACCTAGCCTGTAGGGGAGGCTCTTGCACTCATGTGCAGATTACACACACCCAGTTATGCCAATCTCTATTTCTTTGTGTCTTTCTCTTCTCTGTCTCCTTCTCTTCAGTGTGGGAGCTTTGCTAGAAGGCAGCAGAGAGCATCTCAATGGAACATATCTTGTGACCAGAGGCAATAGATCTAGAATTAACTCAGATTCCATATCCCAGTTTGGGAATGCTAGTCATTCTATCCAGAGACTCTCTCCTCCTGGATAGTAGCATGCTCTGACTACTGTTGCCTTTCCCGCTGGCAACTGCACCTTCTCGTTTCCTTCAGAGAAACGTCTTTGCTATAATTCCCTCCCCCCAGTTTTGAAACTGTTCTGACCCAAATCTTGTTCCAAGGAAACAAACACCAAACAGAGATAAAAGCAAAACCTTTTAATGCTTCTCTGCGAATTCCGTTAATTCATGGTTAAAAGGCTATTAAAACTAATTGTCTCTGACAAGTACAAGCCTTGCCAAGGTTGTGCAAGGCGGCCAAAAGCACTAGATTAAGTTGTCAAGAAATATTCCAAACAAAAAGTCTTCAAACACAAACCAAGATATTTCGAATGTCAACAAGGCTTGAAGTGCAAGAACTTCTTTGCTTCCTGCAAAGAACTCCGGTCTCTCAGGCTGGCTTTTATCTCTTAAGGGAGGGGCCTTTACCTTGCAGCCTTACTCCCGAGTTGCCCATGCTGCTGCAGCTGCTCTTTCCTATGAGCAGCCCTGCATGCACACGCACTGGGCACAGGCTCCTCGGGGTCCCCTTCATCACTGCTGCCAGCCTCCGCAGCCTCCGAAGGCAGCACTCCACTCCCTGATGGTCCTGGCCCCATCCCTGCATCACACGCAGGCCCCTCATCTGAGTCCTCTCTCTCTGAGACCTCAGTCGTCCCACACCTGCTGCTGGCGAACCACAACAGAAAAACACCAGTAGAGTTGAGTACCTTTGGGTGCTCAGATCGATCTCTATCAGTTGGTGCTGCAGGAAGTCCTGCGTAGCTCTTGGATGATCATAGGTACACATGTGTCTAAGATTAAAAATAAAATAACATTCTGAAAGTTTCCATCTTCAGATGTAATGCCATGTTTCCTCTTATCTTTTCTTCTAAGCAGTAGAGTTTATGAGTTTCTTTTTGTGGGCTTCTTTTTAAACCCCATAAGCCATAGATCATTGTGCTAAATTATTGCCGTCCCAAATTTAGCATCACAGATTTTGCCTTATTTTATGCTTTTGTAATGGTTGTTTTTTTTTAAATTTTATTTAATACAAAGGATGAGCAGGTTAACCATAACCAAAGATTGCTCTTGTACCGATTTTGAATCTATGGCTAAGGAGATATGGGCACATGGATGTCCAGCTCTCCATTTAGCTGATTGGGTCATTGGCCACCCAAACAAGAAGCTGATGAAGGTCCTGTAAATGGATTGGGCCACTGTTCTCCCAGGGAATTATAGCATTGCAGTCCAGCACATCTGGAGGGTGCCATGGTTGAAGATCCCACGCAGGTGTGTCCTTTTTACTGACTCACTCCTCATAGTCCTTGCCTGAAGCTGGGAGATTTCAGTTAAAACGTGTGTTCACACAGCCCAAAGGCATGTTTTGACCAAAGATGAATATCTGGTTGTACATATAGGATTGCTTTATTTATTTATTTTCTTTTTCTTTTCTTTTTTTAGTTTTTAACAATAGAGTAATCCTTTCTTGAAGAGATTCTAAATTCCGTGGAAGACAGTAGGATATTGCTGAGGAACTATCCTGCTACTATCTGGAGATAGTGATAATTTGCTTCTGACACAGGTTCCCCCACCTCTTTTTGTCTTAAAAGCTTCAATTTTTCCCTGCCTGTCAGTTGAGAGCATGAAACAATATTGGTATTAGGTGACTGGTTTGAGCCTTACCATCTAGCAATATTTGGCATAGAGAAGATGAGATGCTACCCAGTCGTCTTCTCTCCTTTTTATCAATACCCATCTCATTCCCCATCCTTCTCTTTTCTGGTCCTCGGTGCTACCTGGGTTTATTTCTGCTCTCCATCCAGTCTTCATTCTCCATAATTCATTAGTTTTATTCCATAATGGACATCTTCTTTCTAGAAGGAGGCCTTCTAATCAATAAAAGGTAAATTCCTTGACTTACATCTGTTGTAGGTGGAGATCTAATCAGAATACAGCTGGGAGAGACCTTGGAGGTCTTTTAATCCAATCCACCGCTACACCATTTCAGACAAGTGACTGTCCACTCTCCTTATCATTTCTGTCTCCATCTGGGTTTCTGAGAATTCAATCTCTGTCTTTCCTCTTCCCCTCCTTCTAAATCATGTTTGAATTGTGCTATGGTTATTCCAGAGTCAGGAATAAATACGTTAATGCTTGTATGTAATAGCAAGGCTCACGTTTCTGGAGGAATCAGGTTTTCATATCAGGGTCTCGGCTGCTACAAACAGATGAAGTGGCCTGCCGAGCAAGCAGCTTCTTTTGAGTCCTTTGCAATGAGGAGGAGGAGGAGGATGGAGGGGATGAATGCTTGTTCCTGCTTCATTCCTGTTTTGTTTTAGCCTAAAATGTAAAATTTGAATGAGACTGTAATCAGACTGGGCCCTACCACTTTGAGATCACAGGGAGGGGAAGTGTTGGCACAATAGAATGCTTCCCTGCATAGAGAATAAAAGTTCTGCATGTAGAAAATCCCTACGTTGGGAAAGGAAGTTCTTCTGGCCTTGCTTTCTTCCAAGAACACGCAAGATGTTTAATTAATGACATGGAAAAGCCATTAATAATGCCCCTTTCCATAATCAACCAACTTGATTATGGTGTGCAGTGACCTTGACTACAATCTGCCACTTCTTTATTGTGGCTCTTAGCCAAAGATAACCTTCCTTGTTCAGGGTTTTACAGAGTCCCTGTTGCTTAGACCAGAAGAAGTAGAGAGTGGGTAAGTCCAGGAAAGAGGCAGATTGTAACACCTGTTTCTGCTTTCTCCAACATGGTGCTCACCAGATGTTTGAGTCCAACACCTCTCAGTCTCAGCTCATGCTCTCTAGGACAAAATACAGACAAGAGGAGTGGTCTGAAACATCTGGAGGCTCTAGGATTGGGGAGTATTGCAGTTTCTACTATACGAGCCGTGGAGACACAGTGGTTAGAGTGTAGTACTGCAACCTCTTCCTGCTGACTGCAAATTTGGCAGTTCAAATCTCACCAGGCTCAAGGTTGACTCAGCCTTCCATCCTTCCGAGGTGGGTAAAATGAGGACCCCAAATTGTTGGGGGCAGTACCCTGTAAACCCCTTAGATAGGGCTGTAAAGCACTGTAAAGTGTATATAAGTCTTAAGTGCTATTGCTATCTCTGGATAGGGAGGTGTAACACAGCTCTTCAAAGGGTGCAGGACCCCAAATCCTCTTTGGTATAGGGCTATCGTCCTGCCCTGCTTTCATCTCTCTGTCCAGTTATTCCAAAGCGAGAACAAGTCGCCTGCTGATTTGTTTGTGAAGAGTGTGTACATCAAGGGTCTCCAAACTTGGCGAGTTTGAGACTTGTGGACTTCAACTCCCAGAATCCCTGAGCTAACATGACTGGAGGAGGAATCCTGAAGTCCACAAGTCTTTAAAGCTGTCAAGTTTGAAGACCTCTGGTCTACATTGAAACTTCTGGTGAGGGAGGGGGGGCGTATACGAAGTCAGTGCATCTTTGATATCCGTTCTCCACGGTAGATACCAACTTATTGTTGAGCCTGATTGAAAGCTTTGTCAAGGATTGTGCCCTGAGCCATGCTAGTGCCTGCTGATTTTTTTTCAGTAGTACATAGCCGTCCCTTCCTTCCTCCTCCTCCTCTGGCCACCTCTATACCCTCCTTACCCCACCCCCTACCATGAAGGGGGCGTTTCCTCCCTCTGCCCCCTGTGCTGTGCCTTTTTTAGCCATACAGTGTCTGCCTGTGGAAAATGGTGTCGTGCAATTTTTGCCTGTTTGTCTGGCCACCATCTGGGCCCCTCTGGGAGGGCTCCTCGCACGTCCCGTGCAACCCTCCATCCAAACAGCGACGAGCTCCCGTCTCTCTCTCTCCACCCCCCTACTCCCTCTTTAGTGCACTCACCTCCTTCCTCTGGGCTGGAAGACCTTTGCACAGCACAGGTGTGGGTGGGTGGGTGGTGGCAAAAAGAGAGTCCAGCCCGCTTGCTTTTCACAGTTCTGTATTCTCAACTTAAGCTGGGCTTTTGCCTCTTGTTCTCTGCTTCAGGCCAAGCGGGAACCAGTGGCCTTCAGTAGCCTCTATGTGCTTTCATGTACAAATACGGTCTCGGCTAGGAGCCGTTTAAAGCAATGAATCTATTGTATAAAATATTGTGTAAAGAGAGTCTTTTTACATAAATATTCTAATAAATGAATGTTTTAATTTTTAATGGCCTGGGGTGAGTCTCTCTCTCTCTCTTTCTCTTTTTCTCCCCTTCCCCCCCTTTTCACCAAAGTTCTTGCTCTGGGTTCTGTCAAAGCACATGGGAATAATCAGGAGTGGGATTCAAATTTTTTAACAACCAGTTCTGTGGGCGTGGCTTAAGTGGTTGCCATGTGACTGGGTGGACATGGCTTGGTGGTCATGTTATTGGCTGGGTGTGGCCAACTCAATATCACTCACATCGAGGCACACATCTCCTCTCCTGGCCTCTCATGACTGTGGGGATGCTGCAACAGTCGTAAGTGTGAAAAATGGTCATAAGTCACTTTTTTCAGAGCCATTGTAACTTTGAATGGTCACTCCACACAAGCAAAGTACCAGCAAAGGAGGGGGAAAAAACTCCAGAGAAATTCCAGAGACAGGAAGTCTAGTCCTGTCAAGAATGTAATAAGGGTTAACGGAGAGGCAGTTTCTGTAAGCAACACCAGAATGTTTCCTTCCTGCCTTCCTTACAGGATTAGGCCAGTAATTTCTTCTGACAACCGGTTCTCCGAACTGCTTAGAGTGTTAACAACCGGTTCTAGCGAATAGGTGCGAACTGGTAGAATCCCACCCCTGGGAATAATGTACAAAACTGGGGATAGGGATTGTTTTCGGACTGAAGATTATTTGCATTGGCAAGGGAACAGCTGTGAGGCCAAGTTTTCAGATTGGGTTCTCGCCTCCCAATGTATCAGTCTACAATGTACACCAGGGGTCTTCAAACTTGACAGTATTTTCCATGTTTTTGAATAGCTTCTAATGGTGAGTCTCAGAGCATTGTAAGCAGCTGGTCTTGGTCTGTGCAACAATCCATTACGCCAGAGGTCTCCAACCTTGGCAACTTTAAGACTTGTGGACTTCAACTCGCAGAAACCTGGGAGTTGAAGTCCACAAGTCTAAAGTTGCCAAGTTTGGGAGTCCCTGCATTAAGCTAAGAAGCAGATAAAAACTGTGAGGCCCTTGGAGAT